AAAATAAAGCTAAAGTGAATAGAGAGAAACACTGGTAACTGATGGTACATGGGGTGGGGAGTATTATAATCATTTTAATAAGGTGTATGATTTGTTGAATGTAAAACTGATGATCTGCCTTATAAACTTTTACTCAAGTCACAAAAAAAATCTTTAGGAAAAAAAAAAAAGTCAGTTGTCATAACATAATCCACAAAGTCAATATCCCACATCCTACTTTGGTGAGTAGCAACTGGGACCTTAAAAGCTGGTGAACGGCTATCTAAGATACAAAATTGATCTCTCCCTGCCCAGATGAAAGAAGAGTGATGAAAATCAAAGAACTATGGAAGCAGTTAGTCCAGTGGACTAATGGACCAAGTGAACATCAGTCTTCAGGACACTGAGGCGAGAATGATATGGTGTCCAGTTACACTACCAACTGCTCTGGAAGGGATCACAACAGATGGTTCTGGGTAGAGAAGGGGAAAAAATGTGAAACAAAACTCAAAACCAAACAAAAGACCAGACTTACTTGTTGGATTGAGACTGGTGGAACCCTGCAATTATAGCCCTTAGTAACACTTCAGGTCTGGAAGAGAGCTCATGCCAATAGCTCAATTTTCAGCCAATATTTGGGTCTATAAGGGGAGTATGTGCACCTTAGAAAAAACAACCATTTAGATCAAAAAGGGTTGCATTTACTCAAGGATTAAGTTCAGAAAGGTCCAGAAAGGAGGAGGAATGGGAGCAGGAAACACAAGAGAGTACATGGGATACATGATACTACTTTGTGTAAACTGTAATCAAAGAGATGAAGCACGATGATCTTGAATTGTTGGAGGAAATCTGATGACCTTCTTTCTAAGTCTTCACCCAATACTCAATACAAGCTTAAAAGAAAAAAGATGATGGAATTTTTCCTAAAGAAGTTTGACATTCCCTTATGCAGAGATGACTAACAACTATCCTTCACACTTTGTTGTTCTTGTTAGGTACCATCGAGTATGTACCGACTCATAGTGACCCTATGCACAACAGAACAAAGCATTGCCCAGTACTGGGACAACCTCAAAAATGTTGCCAC